GCGCCCGCCAGCCGGGCCCACGCCTCACTGTGAAATGACATCAGGAACACCTGTAACCTTTGGCTGGCCGAAGGGAGCAGATGCTAACTACGCCGGAGATTCCGAATTACATATTAGTTAGCGTTTAAAAGGGAGAGCGGGAAGCAGTGCCCACTGTCTGTTGATTTCGGAGTGCTGCTCACATCTGCTGCACCATCTGGATTATGAGTTTATTTACCTGTGTGCAAGGAGCGGGGAGCTGAGAGGGACCACAACAAAGTAGAAAAACAAAGGGCTTGTTTTTGGCTGGGTTCGCGGGCACACATGTTACAGAAAGAAAATAGCATCCGAAGCTCTGCGGGAAGCGCTCCGAGCTCCCCGTTAAAGTCTCCTGAATAGCACGGAACGGCTCCCACAGAACACGCATTAGAGCGCCTCTAAGAGCCTAATGAGTCTGCTTCCGCATCCAAACTGGAGAAAAGCTTTCGCCATTAATCGGTTCTTAATTCACTGTCGCAGCTGGATGTCATTCAGCGGCTCCAAATGGATACGTTCCTTTATTTAATCTTTGCAGCTTCGAACATTTTTAGCATTTGGACGCCGCCCCCGCCTGCCCCCCAGCCCAGTTGCGGGTGATGTGTAATCCGTGGCATTCTTCAAGTTCTCCCAACTGCTGTGGAAATTCACTAAATACAAGGCATTGACCACAGCTGGCAGCTTGGCTAAAAATTGCCATCTTTCATCGCGTTGGCGCTGTTCTGCAGGCCGAGTTGGCCAGCAACTCCTTACCTTTCATTTGAAAGGAAAATGCCCTTTGAAACAGGCAGTTGGGTTTGTGCAGTCGGGGCGGGATGCGGGTCTTTGCACTTCTGAGTTGTATGTTCACAGACACTGTTAGTCACAACAGGGCTGTGGCAACTCATTACGATTCCACGCCACATCCTCCAGGCTGATTGTCCCGATAAAACAAAAGTTTCATTGATCCGCCTCTTGCAGAAAAAATGTGGCTTACTTTCCAGTGCTTTGATTTATTGTGCTTTGAGTGCTTTCTGCTACAAGGGAAAAGAAATAAAGGGCCTTCGGAAGCCTCACACTTAAAGGTGATTTGCACCTGATTTAATGCCCACGGGATTTGATGGCGTGGTCAAAATTTACCGCACATTCTAAGATGAAACATGGCTAACGTGCCATTCATTAAATAATCTCTTTACTTATGAAGAGGCAAACGTATTGAGTCATGTAATTTCCTCCAGCAACTTTATTAGAGACTTTCTCCTACTAGAATTTGTCACGAAAAAAAATGAAAATTTGTCAGACTTATTAGATGTTTTCCATGAAAAGAAAAAAGGAGGAATTTAGAGGCTAAGTTATTGTTTGCCTCCACTGCTAGCAGGATCCTCGTGATCATGGAGTTGGGCCGATCCCCGAGCAAGATAAGATTATGGAACGTAGAACCATCTTAACAACACTTCCTCTTACGTTGCACAAAAATACCACACTCTCTTCAATCTCTTTGACCAGATCTTCCTTGAGGCTCATACTGTTGACAGTGAAATGAGATGACATATTTGACCTTCATAATGAGCAAGGGATATGCAAGGTTGGCAGGGTGGGTAATGAAATATGCGAGCAGACACGAAACATCAAGCATGAATGACAGCATAGAAGAGAGTTCCTCAATACCTCAGCTTTGAGTTATCTGATTGTAATAATTGTTGACACTTTATAGTAAAATTGTCCAAATAAAAATATCATATCTTGCATATTACAAGATGTAAGCATATATGACTCCACTGGGGTATTGGGTAATCTAGTAACGTGTTGAAACATGACACCACGCTGGTGTGATCAAAAATGTTTCTGGTGAGTAATTATTCGAAAAATAAATGTCTCGCAAGATTCAGAGTCTCACCAGGTGAGCAGCCCTTTGACTGAGGACATTGAAGATGACCTCGTAGCATATGGGACGTGGGTAGCGTCTTAGCGCGTTTACACTCTACATATGGAAGCACTGCAGAGCTCCAGCCATAAACATCTTATGTTGGTGGGGGGTTATTGTTATTTCTAGAAAGTGAACAGTATTCATTGCTGACCTCCCAGAATGCATTTTTGACAAAGTTAAAGGAAGAGTGCTGTACGTTAGCCAAGAAACTGGAACAAATCTCTCAAAAGAGCAGGTAGGTGATATTATGTAATACTTTCAGAGCACTGTTTGTTTAAATTCTGTAATTTTTCTTTAAAGCACAGCATTTCCACTATTTTACAGTCGAATGTCAAAATTAGATATAGTAGTCCCCCCTTGTTCATAGTTTTACTCTTTTTTTTTACATATATATTTTTATTGATTTCAGTGAGGAAGGAGAAGGGGAGAGAGAGAGAGACATCAACGATGAGAGTGAATCATTGATCGGCTGCCTCCTGCACGCCCCACACTGGGGACCGAACCCATAACCTGGGCTTGTGCCTTGACCGGGAATCAAACCTTGACCTCCTGGTTCCTAGGTCGATGCTCAACCACTGAGCCACTCCGGCTGGACAGTCACCTTTATTTTACGGAAGGAGAAGGGGAGAGAGAGAGAGACATCAACGATGAGAGTGAATCATTGATCGGCTGCCTCCTGCACGCCCCACACTGGGGACCGAACCCATAACCTGGGCTTGTGCCTTGACCGGGAATCAAACCTTGACCTCCTGGTTCCTAGGTCGATGCTCAACCACTGAGCCACGCTGGCTGGGCAGTCACCTTTATTTTACTTAATGATTAATGATGGCCTTAAAGCACCAAACTAGTGCTGCTGGCAATTCGGACATGCCATAGGGAAGTCCTAAGTGCTTCCTTTAAGAGAAAGTGGAAGCACGGGATAATAAGGTATTTTGAGAGGTTGGAAGAGTGAGAGAGACCACAGTCACGTGGCTTTTATTATAGTATATTGTTATAGTTACTCTATTTTATTATTAGTTCCTGTTCATCTCTTACTGTGCCCCGTTTATAAATTAAATTTTATCAAAGGTCTGAATGTACACGAAGAAACAGATTTTTCAAGCATCCACTGAGGTCCTGGACCATATCCCCTTGGATAAGGGGGACTCCTGTGTGTGGTGATATATTTCATGGGAAAATACTTTCTCTATATGAACATCTTCTTAGTCGTCCTTACAGACACCTGGGTGTTCTTTTCGTAATTATGAGTCTGTGCTGTTATTTGACTTTTTTTAATGGTTAGGATTGAAAACTATGAAATTTCACAACACAAAGGTCAAGATGGAAACCCTTGTAACAAAGGATGCAGATGAGTCAAGCAGTTTCCAAGTCTTATGTTGTTACGTGTAACAGTTTTATCCATTATCACAGTTCTCTTTAGCTGTACACACACAAAAGCCATCTTTAGGTCAAATAATAATAGTTGGAATGTGTATCTATAGAATGAAAGGTGATACTTTGAAATAAATAGACTAAAGCCATCCTTTCCTTCTCTTTCTAGAAGTATTTTGTTTTAATGAGCTAGCCACCGTGCATTTTATATGTACACTACTTTTTTAGAAGCCCAATGATTGGGATCTTATTGAATTTTTTCTGCACACTTTCTAATCGGATTATCTCAATGAATGAATGATTTTATATTCCACATTGTAAAAAGCCTGAGTTCCCATTTCAGCTCTGACAAGAACTGTAATCTCAGAGAAGTTTATTTGACCTGTTTGAGCAGCGGTTCCCTCTGGTAAATGAGCGCTATTGGACAGCATCCTTTGAACTGAACCATCAAAGGCAACATTCACATAATTAGCTAGATATCAAATGTCATATTACACCATAACCTAAGGAGAAAGTTACCTGCGTAGCTTCCCTTCTGTGTTTTTCTGAAACTCACTTCGATCTGCACAGAGCAAGCAATATGGCCCAGCAGCTCGTCTACTGACTCAGGCGTCTCATTCAGAAACGTTTCTGGGTGGATCAGAGCATGTGATCGCTCTGAGCCCTACCTGGGGTTCCTCCATCAGTGAGCTGGCTTAGCGATAGAATCCCCATCCCTGCGTCTTTGGGGCAACCCGGAGGCTTAGGACTCCAGTTCTCTCTGCCCACAGGCAGGCAGGGGCTCCTATAGCCACTGAGAACTGCTCTGACGTGTTCCTTCTTAGCAAATACTAATTATTGATCTCAGAGAGGAAGGGAGAGGGAGAGAGAGAAACATCAGTGATGAGAGAATCGTTGATCGGCTGCCTCCTGCACGCTCCTACACTGGGGATGGAGCCCGCAACCCGGGCATGTGCCCTGACCCTGACCTCCTGGTTCATAGGTGGGCGCTCAATCACTGAGCCACACCGGCCAGGCTGCAAATACGAATTAAATATCTTGTTTGGGTAGGGGAAGGCTCAGGACCCACAATGCCAGATATTTTCAGGAAGTCTGACAAGGAAACCCACGTGATTTTGTCATGAAAGAGATTTATAAAATATCAACAGGAGCTGTTCCTTAGGAGAAATGTTTGATTTGCCTCACATAGATCCAAGCATAGGTAATTGTTAGAAACAAACCAACTGAATTACATAATTTAAGAAAAATTATATTGATCTGAGGTTTACAATACCATATTTTAAGATTGCTTAGTGATTGATTATTGATTAATTATCTTGCTTTCTGAGGAATAACTCAGGAAATTGAAGTGGATAGAAGGGAAAGGGGTGCTGTATTCTCAGTAAATATGATTTCATTCTCACAACAGCTGGAGACAGGAATTACAGATGAGGAAACCAATCCACAGAGTATTTAAATGGCTGGGGAGTGGGAGAGCTAGGGTCCCACCTTAGGTATTTCTGGTTCCAAAACCGAAGATCTTTCTTACAAGTGCAGTATTCCACATCTACTGCTAAAAAAATCCAGGACAAGTAGTTATGATGGGAACGTTTAGGGGAAAAGTTAATCTTTAAATCCCCAAGGAGAAGTGGGCATACTGGGCAGGTGAGTGAGTTTACCTGTGCCCTGTTCCCGGGGCCCCCTTCATCCTGCTGCCCATCTGTCAGCTTACCCTGTGCTGGTCTAGTGAACTTGAACATCAACCCCAGCTCCTCATGCTCTGATTCCTGTAGCTCTTGACCACTGCTTTATCCATTGAATGTGTTTCTTTCATCTGACACACAGAGGCGCTCAATATGTATTTGTTGAATGAATGAGTGAATGAGTGAATGAATGAATGAATGAGTGAAACAAGTGTGGTGCTCTCCCCACCCCCAATCCTGATTGACTCTGGTTCCAGCCTGTCCCTTTGTTAATGACCCAGGGAATGTGCAGTAAAAAGCACTTGGGAATTCAGAGAGAAGCAGGTTTGAATCCACTCTGCCATGTAGCTTCGTAACCGTGGGCACAAACCCCAGCTTCTCCCTGTGTAAGGACATGTCTAACACCGTGTTCAGGATTGCTGTGGGGACTGGAAATTTAGAGAGAGAGACACGGGTACACATCCAGACATAAAGTACCAAGCGCAGTGCTGGGCCAGGGGCGCACGTGGCTGCTGTGTCACCGCTGGCATGGTGCTGAGGGTGGGCACTTTGACCTCACTTCACCTGGCTGCTATTGGTTTTGCTGGGCTCTGAGGGCTATTTCCTGAGCGACATAAAGTCATTATTACAAGGAAAACCTTTGTAGTAAAGGCAAAGGAAAATCAGATGTGGGTCTGGTAGTGATTCGGGTCTTGCCCTGGCCAATGCCCTGTTTTGTAAATCTGAGGAATTAAAACAGCTCCGCCTGTAACTTCGCAAGTTGATCCCAAGGTAAGGCCTGCAAACAGCAAACACTCGATAAATTGTTCCTTATTATTATTATTATTTTTAAATAAATTTCTATTGATTTCAGAGAGGAAGGGAGAGAGAGATAGAAATACCAATGATGAGAGAGAATCATGGATCGGCTGCCTCCTGCATGCCCCCAACTGGGGATCGAGCCCACAACCCGGGCATGTGCCCTTGACTGGAATCGAACCTGGGACCCTCCAGTCCACTGGCCGACGCTGTATCCACTGAGCCAAACCAGCCAGATTTTGTTCCTTACTAGTGTTAAAACTTTAAACAGCTTCTTAACTTTATAAAATAAGTATCTTATGTGTCTCACAAGAATATAATCCACAGAGTAAATTGTAATTTTAGAGTTTTTTGTTTGTTTACCCTTAAACTTTTCAATTCAGCCTCATTCCCCCTGACTTTAAGTAAAGACTGAGATTTTCAAAATTCATGCAAAATGTAACATTCCGTTTTGATACTGCTTTCTGCTTTGAAACCACCTATAACGCTTGAAGAGCTCAGAGTGTTTCTTTTTGAATAAAAATTATAAACTTATTAAACCGTCAGGAAGCCCTCCAGGAGTGCGCCTCCCACACCGTAAACTTCGGGGATCAGTCATTTCCCCTGAACTCTGAGTGAGGAGATCTTGGCGTGCTGTCATTGCGGAACTCAGGCTCCAAAATGACTATTTCAACCACGTGGTACATTTAATCCAAGTTTGCTTCTGATTTCTACAGTAAAAGTTCTCCTGAAAGTAGGTGCATCTTATTTTGTATCTGTCAACAATTGAAAGCACATTTTTACTGCTCCCCCTTGTCTTAGTGGCATTTCTCTAAGAGTTTCACATTATCCAAAATCCCACACTAAACCCATGGGTTCATTCCATTTAAAATAAGCTTTCTCCTTACTCACAGATCTAGTCATTTGACTGGGGCCCGTGCAGAATGACTGGGAAAGTGACAGCTGGGGCTAGCCATGCCTTACACCAGTGATTCTCAACCTTCTGGCCCTTTAAATACAGTGCCTCATGTTGTGACCCAACCACAAAATTATTTTCGTTGCTACTTCATCACTGTAATGTTGCTACTGTTATGAATCGTAATGTAAATATCTGATATGCAGGATGGTCTTAGGCGACCCCTGTGAAAGGGTAGCGACCCACAGGTTGAGAACCGCTGCCTTACACTCTGCCTCTCCACCCCAGCCTCACGGGGAGGCGTTCAGAAGCGGTTCCCACGTGCATGTGTGTGTGTGTGCATGTGTGTGTGTGTGGTGTGAGTGTTTCTCCCTCATAGTGGTGCCTATTGCTTCTGTCCTCTGAAGCCCTGTGATTAGCCTTGTGCGCATTCCATGCTGCAGCTGCGGTGCCCCCAGCCCGGGGCCTGTGACTGGCACGTCCCCTTTA